TTCATTTTCATGGCCTATTCAAGCCACAACGAATGATAGAACTTTATTTTCCGAAAACATTCCTCTAATAATTGAATAGTTAAGGTAAATGCAGTTTCTGTCTGTGACTGTTTTGATGTGTTCTCAGATTACATCTGATATTCGCTTTGTTAACCTATCATTGATATTAAAAGGGGGAAAATCGATACCAATTGGATATTTCAAAAACCACAAATCGAAAAAAAAAGAAACACAATCGCCGGTAGAAAAGAGATGACCAGACAAACAGTCCTCAAAACACTAAGCAGAATACATAACATCGAGCAATACAAAACATGGTCTAAACATATGTAAATTTTATGAAAGAAAGACATCTTTTAAGCTCCCTTTACAGACTTGCAGATATTATGCTATGTTATGGCTGACGAACCGAATTGAGAATATCTTGTCAATTTAAATCATATTGTGAGGTCTAAAAACAAGTTTCTGAGCCAGTCTTTCCTTTCGTTTATGATTGTTAATTTTAAAAGATGATCAATATTACCCATTCTTTTCAGTAAAACGTGTTGTCTCGAAAATCATATCATATATACCTATTAAATGTATTACTCTCCAGTTTTGAACTACTAGTATGATGTTGGCAGTCAGTTTTCGCTAATTCCAGTTATTTGCTTTTATAAGCCATACTTTTTTTTATCAGTAGCGTTGTTAACCGTAAACTGGACACAATGATATGTTGCGTATAAATTTATAAGTTAGTATAGCAACGTTTTAATGGTTTTTATGTATGAGGAAGGATTATTATTTTTTTAGCTATTTGCTTAATCTGTCGTCAACCAGAGAAAAGATGCATTAAATAAACTGTTAAATATAGAAAAACAGTCTTACAGATATTTTGTATCTAAATGAAGTAAGCTGGGTCTGGTAGCAGCCGTTGCATAACTAGGTTTGCATGGTTGCTCTGTTTACGTCTCCGTTGTGTCAAAAGAAATTAAGAAAAATCGTTTCATTGTTATAGCGTTGTTTTTAAGTTGAGTGTTTTTGCATTTGTAGTTGAGTTTGTGTATGGCTTTATATCTCAACGCTTTAAATATCCATGGTATTGATAATTGCTTACAATATCTATAGATAAAAACCCTAATTGGTGGAACCATTTTATCATCTTTTGTTCAAACATTGATCATATGTTTGGAGGTATTAAATTAAACATTTTCTATAAAACGAAGACCACTTGAAATATTGGCCAGTAGTACTCTGCTTTTCAATTAGTCATGGATATGCGATGATTCGTTTTGGAATATCGGTTGCACTTATTTTTTTTACCAACGCCATGCGACATTCATACGACAGCTAATGCAAGATCTTTATTTTCACATGACGTTACTGCAATATTTATCGTAGCTGCTATTAAATTTTGTGAATTTCACCTTTAATCGTTAACGAAGTTTTTCTCACAATGGCGTTATAAGGAAGACATGTCATGACGTGTCACATATATTGGCGACCTTAAAATTAGTTTAAGGTAACAAATGGGCAATAAAAACCATATGTAGTTCAAAAGAAAAACAACTGATTGGCAAAAAAATTGGTACTGCTCCGTGAGCACCGAAGAGTAAATATTGCTTTAATTTTGTAATGTTAACCTGAAATTAAACTTTAAATAAACACACGTTGGCAATATTTGAATTGCGTGTATCTTTCTTTGTTCATAATTGTTGTGTAGATTGAACCTACTTTTGTAATAGATTGATTACTATGAAAACCTAAAGTAATTCTAAATAAAATAGTTAAAAAGTATGGTCATACACAAACACGTCCTTTTGTAACCTGTATAGCTGCGTATTTATTACTAATATATTGCTTGACAGGTGTATGAATATGATCTTAATAATATTCACATAACTGCACTGTGTTGTTCTCTCAAATGTAGAAATAAGGCGCGGAAGATATAGCTATCAAGCGATTACTAATGTCATTATCGTTCTGATAGCATTTCATGCAATATTTACCCCCAAAACGACGAAAGGATAACATTAGTGCATAAAACATTACAACTCGGGATAATTGCAGTTTCTATTCTACTAGTGACGACCGTGGTATGTCTTGTAAAAACAACTCTATCCGGGGATGTGGCATCATATAAAACGGATTTGTAAATTGCTTTTCTCTAACCTTAAGACATTACAAAGTCATAAACCATCATTAATTCTGTAACCCCAAAACTTGAGCAGATATCAGAGTTTGGAATGAAAACGTATTTTGAAATGGATAGACTTGATGGTACCGGGAGACACAAAAAACACAGGGAAAAATAAAATAGCACAGAATGCAACATCAAACACAAGTAAAAAATATCCCTTAAAACAAATAATCGATTGGCTCATGAGCTCAAAAAGAGTAAGAGGTTCCTGCTCAACTAGTGACTCCCATTGTGTTACTCTATGAAAATAAAAATTCGATTATATGTCGCATTCGGGGATGTCACATTCAATGAAAAGAGGGCAAGTGGAACACATATGTGGTCATCTTTCTCACAGATATTACATAACGGTCACTAAAATCATGATGGCGTCCGTGAAACTTTCTACTTTATCGTTTGAAACCGTTGGTTCAATAAGCTAACATGAAAGCAGCAGCACACTATCAAGGAAATCACGAGAGGAGATGCAAGCCCTGGAATATCGTATCAACTGGTAGATTCATTCTCTGTATGGAGGCATCGCTGGAATTCTGCTGAAATGCCAAGATGATTTAATAGGAAAATTGAAAACGCCAGTTCTCAACCTACCCGCAATGTCAATTCTGGATGTAAGTCAAGATGAGAAGCAAACTTGACTGTATCATTTATGCTTTAGTATCCAAAACTTCCAATTGGATCTGAGATGTGATCAATATAGTCATCAAACTTTGAATAAATCAGTGAACGGACATAAAGAGAAAGATGGCAGGGTTATTTGGCAAAATCATTATTGAAACACGAATCGATAAAATAAATGATGCAACAGTATACATTTTGTAAAAAAAAACTCAATCTGAGGTCATATGAAACCACTGAAACAAAAGTTACTCAATAAATCGACAAACTTTATACTTGCCAATGGAAATGAGGTAAAGATGCCAGACTTCCAGATACTCATATAATTAACTCCATCTACCACATATTGTTGACCTATCATGTGTTGTGTGTGAGGAAAAGATTTCATACTGAAAACATAATCTAACCACCAGAGTGTGAAAATGAGGTTAAATTCGGGTAATATTGACTGATTGGCAATGTCTGACCATACACTACCAAAACAGGAAATTTTATCATCTTAGGAAAAAGTGGAGATAAGATAATGAAATTTGCAAAATTTGTAAATTATCAACCCTGGATTGCTAGCCCATGAAATGTAATATTCATGTCCTGCCTACCTTGATATTTGGCACAGGTGAAAAAAAATGTCATAAAACAATTTGCACTTGGAAATCTAACAAAATGCTAAACCATGAGGACACAACACCAACAAGTATGTTTACTGCTTTATTAAAATTTGGAAGTTTGCAAATGAAAATGTCCTGTTTAAATCCATGAACATCTCACAAAGAAGAGCAACCGTTAAGGTTGACAGAGGTATAGCAATTATGGTCAACCTGGCTTTCTCCAATTCAGGAGTAAGACCCATCCTAAGAGGGCTTCTGATATGATGTGGAAGATGTATAAATATATAGCCAATATAAATATGTCTGGTCAGAATGGAATGGGATAAATCTGATACCTCATGTCCGGTACATGCTATGCTCTCTGCAGGTTAAAGAACCTTTATCACAACTCTCTGAATGGTATGTAGGTGTACTGTGCAAGTGAAAATTTCTGTTCTATCCAACATATCCTTTCAGTGGCAATTAAGTTTCAAGTCCATCCTATTCAACCCACTTTGCAGAATTAACCTATTGAATTACTAGTTAATTTGTTATGGTCCATAATATGAAGGAAAAATTGACCATTGGACGTTCAGAAACAACAATTAGGGAATAAACTAAGCAAAAGGTATAAATAGTTAAACATAACATGTTCAACAAAATGTGACTTTAATGTAACTGAATAAAGACAAATTGAATATTGTACATTTCAATAAAACTAAATAAATATAGGCCAAATCAAACCACATAATAAATTGTAAATTCAGAAAAAAAAATCATATTTTTTATCAGCATGATAACTGTAAAAGGATAAATATAGGAATATATAAAGGACTTTAAATTTTGAATATTCTACAAAACTATGTATAGAGTTGATGATTTGTATATATAGGAACAATGACTACTGAGCATAATTTTACCGTTAATGTTGAGCCTTTATGAACCTTTTCTAATGAATTTTTATGTTATTCAAAGTCTTTCCTTTCCAAACAATAAACAAAAATCAACTGCCTTGTTTAAAATTTACTTTTACTCTTTAATTATTGTAATGTGCTAAAAAAAATTCCAACCAAACATTTTTATGTTTTCAATTTTCAAGGGAGAAACACTTCACGCTGTAAAAACTAGGACGATACAAATTATAAACGAATTAAACCCAACAGTTACTTTGTTATTTAACGAAATTAAACTGATTTTATTTTTTTCTTGGTAACTACTGTAGAGACATCATGAAACCTACAGATCTGCTGATTTCGTCATTTCCAGGAAGTGATATCAACACAATCTTATATTGTCCTAAAATGAGATATAGCTATGAAACTTCCTAGAGTTAGAAATATAAAAATAAGAAGATGTGGTATAATTGTCAATGAGACAACTTTCCACCAGAGACCAAATGACATAGAAGTTAACAGCTATAGGTCACCGTACGGTCATCAACATTTAGCAAAACCCATATCACATAGTCAGCTATAAAAGGCCCTGAAATGACCATAAATAATGTTTATCACTACTTCCTAGTCAATGACCTCATTGCATTCACACTCCACTCTAAAAAAGCATTCCCAGTTGAGTAGCTAGATGGAAAAATATAAAGGCATGTTAAAGAAAAGAATATATTGCAAATATAAATTTAATATAAATTAATTAATATAAGTAAATTAATCAAATGATATCAGATTGTTTGTATCCATTACATTCATTTTAACCAGAAACATATCTAATTTTGAGGGTAAATAAAACTCTCATAACAAAAATCATTACTATCAACAATTGTAAACAATGGACGGAAAGTAAACTTTTCATTATTTTTAAAGAAAAAATCCTTTATCACAAAAACATCAGTTATGTATTAAAAACATTCTGTGTAAACATTAAAGAAATTCAGAAATCTACAAAAATGTCAACCATTGATTATCAAACATGTATAAATAACAAGAGAAATGTATTAGATTGAAAAAAAGTAAAAACATGTATGTGTACAATATAAAAATAATAAATAAATAAATAAATACATACACAATAAAGATGGATTATGAAAAAAGCATATATATAGTTGATAGGTCAACAATCATTTTTCATAAAAACCGTAAATAGGAATATTTCTGCTGTTTTCTAATTTTGGTTATCAAGTCAAATATAATGAAACTGCAAAAACTTAGCACATATACTTAATGATTATTTTTAAGCTAAAATCACATTGTTTTGTAATACTTCATTTTTTTATAGGCCGAAAAAGGCCATTTGGGCACCTCCTACTTTGACAGAAATTACGAAAAAAAAAGATTTTATCAACAAAGTTGACACATATGATGCCACAATGACATTAATACTGATGGAATTTGTCAACGATTGTCAAATTTGTATTAAACAAATATTTTTTCCTATCAAATGTTTATGTTTCCAAAGGACACCAATTACTGCTGAACCTAATTTTACATTAAAAATTGAGCCTTTATGAACCTTCTCCTTCTATTTCATGAATTTTTATGTTATGCAATTCTTTAATTGTAAACAAAAATCAGCTTCTATCTAAAAAATAAAATACTCATTATTTTAAGTAATGTAAGCACTTTTGGAAAAAAGTAAATTGAAATTGTCAAATCAAACCAAACATTTTCATGATTTTCATTTTTTTAAGGGAAACACTTCACACAGCAAAAACCATAATAATGAAAATAATTAATGAATGTGTACCTAACAGTACTGGAACCAACAGTTTTGTATGTCCATGTTTCCAGGGAATTCAACTAAATACTGATATCAGCAATACTAACAATAAATGAAGTTCACTTAAAATGTGGCCTTCAGCTGTTTTTTACTCTTTGGTCGGGTTGTTGTCTCTTTGACACATTCCCCATTTCCATTCTCTATTTTATTATTCTGAAGAAGTTTAAATTTTAAATCTGTATTTTTAGACCAATAGACAAAATGGAAATAGAAAATAAAAGAAGCAAAGAAGGGTTTTCATCATTATCAAACAAGCTTTTACTGATTATACTACTCATAGTGAAGAGAATTTTGATTTGTGTATATAAATCAATGTATTTCAAATATTTAAGTAAATTTATCAAATAATACCAGATTGTTTGTATCCATAAATTCATTATAAAAACAAACAAATTAGCCATAATTTTGAGGGTGAATAAAAACTATCCCACCAAAAGAGATGACTATCAACAATTGTATATAATCGACGGAAAATAAAGTTTTAAATTCTTGTAGAAAAGAAAAAAATACAAAAACAAAACAAAACAACCTTTATCACAAAAAACTTCAGTTATGTATAAACATTATGTGTAAACATTTAAACAATTCAGAAATCTACAAAAATGTCAACTATCTGATATCAAATATGCATAAATAACAAGAGGAATGTATCATATTAATAAGGTATAGAAATATGTGTAGAAAACATAAATAAATAAATACATACATACATACATACATACATACATACATACATCATAAATATAGAATATGAAGAAAAAAACAAATCACTGTGAGGTGTTACTTTGTGAATAAAAAATAAAGACATAACCCATCTCATATGTTGTTATGAGAAGCAGGTTGAAAATACGCAGCTTTGAATGTAAACCACAACTGATTGTTTGTATCCATAAATTTATTATAACAACAAACAAATTAGCCATAATTTTGAGGGTGAATAAAAACTATCCCACTAAAAGACATGACTATCAACAATTGTATATAATCGACGGAAAGTAAAGTTTTAAATTCTTGTAGAAAAGAAAAAAATACAAAAACAAAACAAAACAAACTTTATCACAAAAAACTTCAGTTATGTATAAACATTATGTGTAAACATAACCTACTTTATTAGTCATTTATGCATGAAGCTTCAAAATGATTGTCTGGTAGTTGGGATTAAGGCAACATTCAACAAAACGCTGTGGCCAATCAAACAAACAATTCAAGGAAAAACAAATCTCAAAAATACAAAATTGTAAAAATATGTGCATATGTGATTGAAACCAAAACATGTATCAAAATTTCAAACTTGAGTCACACCTGAAGTAAAACCACACAGAACAACACAAAGTACTCTTTGCTTGTTGCAATGAATATACATCTAATCAGCCAACATGTCATAAAATGTATAAAACATACACAATTAATTCTATGTCCTTGTTTCATTTCAAATATGAAAAAAGTGATAATTATCATGTACTTTTGATTTAAATTCTTGACCTCAAATTCCCATAGACCATTCCCTCCGCTAACAACAAAACTGACAGTATGGATCACTCAAGCAATACATATAGTATAGTACCTGTTAATCTGCTATTGCAGTGCATAATTTATTGAGTGCCAATTACAGCAAAATATATTCTGTGCGCAGGAACATACATAACAAAATAATGAACAATGCAAATTATGTTTGAAATTTATTTGTCTATTGCTATGATCCCATGATTGATTTGAAAACTTAAAATCGGTAGCATGGGTGATTCTGGTGTTTTAAATAACTACCTGTCTACCACCTTGAGAATGACAGCTATAAAAATCATTTGACTTTTCCAAAATCACATCTGTATCAACTTGAGACAACAATATAATGCCAAGAGCTCTGCTCTCGAGATTATTTTGGTTGAAGGTTGATACAGTGTGTGATATTGAAAAATCCACAAATTTACACTTTATTATATACTGCAAGTAGATGTTTTTCACGTCATGATATGACGTTATATAGATTAGGGGTTTGAAATAGCCTTTGCAACCGTGACTATAATATATATCATAACAGATATCTGATACAGCACGATTACATTGATTGTTTTACACATACAATTTACTTGTATTTACAACTAAATATATCCTAAATAACAATAAGGCAAAAAATACAAGATTTAAACATACATATAATCAATCAAAATCAATCCACAAAAATATCTAAATCCATACTAAATGTGCTGATTGTAAAACATTTAACATATTAGGTTCACCTGAGAGTTAATAATGTAGTGTTAATCTACCCTTGTGAAATATAACAAATCTTTTAATAATTTATGACTAACCTAATAATTACATAGAACTATTCTGAAATATTTTTACTACATACACCAAAAAATAAAAAGATTACCAATGCATAAAATTGCCTACATCATATTACAAGCCTGACTAGTCTGTCTCTTTATGGTTCCAGGTGACTTACTGTTTCTGGCATTGAAAACACGAGACTTTAGTTGTTCCGGTGTTTTCTGACTACTAGAGGCTCCTGGTTGTTTATTCTGTCCAGCGGCTGCCTGTGTTGGTGTGTTGTTAACAGCTGTAAAATAGATATACATATGGTTGGTTTCTGTTTGTCATATCCATTTTTCATTTATTGTTTTGTCATAAATCATTCAGTAGATTTTTTTGTACTCATAATGTCTTTTTTTTTAATGTCGGGATCCTTTAATAGCTGGTTACAGATGACTTTCACATTTTTGCATTTCCCCATAGATTTCTAATTGTCACAAAGTTTATGTTTTTATAAGTCACAGTAAGAGTAAATTGTTCAATGATGTCATTTTGCTATTTGACATCAGGTCATAAGGCGTAACTCATTCACAAAGAAAAATTTGGAATTTGTCTTGTTCAATGTGTAACAAGCAATGAGTACTTTTTGTTGTTCTGTGTTGTTTTACTACAACATAAATGTTTTGCTCTCATGACTAGAAGATTACTGGCAACCCTTTTGGGAGTTTTAATTAATCATACATTTATTTTTAGGGCAAACTTAATTGACTTCTCCTTTTTCTAAACGAAAAATGGTAATAAAATTAACTTAAAACTTGAAACTGACATGCTATATAGTTTATATTATTGTTAACCCTTAGACTGCTACGAACGACTATTGTCGTTCCGATAAAGCAGTCCGCTATTGCTACGCGCGACTATTGTCGTTTCCGTATCTCATTTGTTTACACAGTTACCATGGAATGGGCGGAGTCAATATTCATGAGATTGCGGCAGTTTAGACTTGTATGGATTCTGATTGGTTAAAAAAGTAACAAAATGGCGGAAATTGTTTGGAGTGATGGCCAACACGTTCAGAAGTATTTCAATGATAACTATGTAACAGCGGCAGCCAATTTAAATGATTTGGACGAGAACAGAAGATATAATAGATGGAAATAGAAATATTCTAGCAAAACTGCGAACAGAAGACTTTTAAAGCGGGAACCACAGGGATTCCCCAGACGATGTTCAAAATGGATGACATGAAACAGGATTTGCGATGTTTATCATTGCACCTTTCAACTGTGAATCAATATTGATCACTGACATCGATAGATTCAAACATTATGTTTGTCAAGAATATTTATTGACGAAAGTTATATCAATGAACTTGTTGTTAAAATATTTGTACATGGAAGTAAAAGTCGAAAGTCGGAAGGAAAATACCGGAAAATAGTTGCATAAAAAAAAACGTTGGTCCGAGAAGAAACTTTTTTCTTTTGATAATCCCAATGGAACTAGTTCTTAAAAGAGATTTTTAACAATATTGGTTCAATTCTGAAGTCATGGCAGATACCTTTGAAAAGTTTTTACATTGATGGATTCGCGTTAATAAAACATGAACAAAATAAATTTACCTTTGTTTACCTCTATTTGCACCTGTACAGGTAATAAATGACCAGAAACTCACACAAAAATAAAATAAATAAAAAATACAGAATATAACAATACTTTTTTATATAACTTTTTAGTGATGAATATTCAATATTTACAAAGATATTGCAATTATAAGTAAACATGTTTATTTCATCAGTGATTAAAATTTTATTCAGCAATACACAAAAGTACAATAGAAATGAATGCAGCAGTCTAAGGGTTAAGAAAACAGATTAAGCCCGCCTCTGGGTGTGGAATATTCTAGCTGCATTGAAGACCCATTGGTGGCCTTGGGCTGTTTTCTCTCTTTGGTCGAGTTGTTTTCTCTTTGACATATTCCCCGTTTCCGTTCTCTATTCTACATTGATATTACAACTGACTTTTCTCCATTTGATTATTTTCATCATCCAGGTGAACAAGTCATTACTCACTATGACCACACTTTTCTGAGTGCTTCTTCCTCTGGCTAAGGACAGGGAACTTATTGGCCAAAACGTCTAAGTAGTCTAACTACTGTATCACCAACCTGTCAACACTATGTTTGTGAGTTCGTAATTCTGCAGGTCCACTGGACTCCAATCTTACAATGTAGTTTATTAAGATTAGTTTTCCTATCAAAGGTTGGTGGTTTTTCTCCTGGCACTCCAGCTTCCGCCACCAATAAATACTGACTGCCATGAAATAGCACAACAGTGCTGAAAGTGGCATTTAACACCTATCAATCAATCAATCAATCCTCTGGCTAAGCTGGGTATCTTGACTGTTAGTATTCTCCCTATCAGTTTCTCTATCAGCATAAATCAGCAATCATACCTTCAACCTGAGGTTTCTCCTTTGGAAGCTAAGGAAGTTGATAAATATCTTTACCATAAGCGTTCTCCCAATCTGTTTCTCTAACAACATATATTAATACATACCCTCAACCATAGTTTTCTCCCTTTGTGGTTTTTCTTCCTCCAGCTGAGTTGGTTTAAGCTGAGTTTTGTATCTCTGTTCTGTAATACTGCCAACTTTCTCTCTGTGTTTGCCACACAACCAAAGTGTTTTACCATTCAGTAAACTTGTTCTATGGATAAATAATAAAAAAAACGTTCAATAAGTACAGTAATAAGGGAATCAAATGCAATAACATAGTTATAGTTATAACACAAGAATCTTAACAAAGTATGCTGACTATGTCAAAAGCATCAATCTGATCGAATTTGAAATAAAGGATACAACAAATACAATCAAGTCTGCCTCATATCTTGACCTACATCTAGTAATTGATAATAAGGGTCGGTTGAGAACAACTTTGTGACAAAAGATATGAGTTTAGCTTCCCAATTGTGAACTTTTCATTTCTATGAACAACATTCCAGCAGCCCTGCATATGAAGTATATATCTCCTAGTTGATACAATATTCCAAAGCTTGCATTTCCCATCATGATTTCTTGATAAAAGGGTTGCAGCTTGGTTTAAGCTATTATACCAAGAGTTCCAAGTTGTAAAGTTGAAATCTTCTGTTCAAAAATTTTAGGGACGCCATCACAAGCTGGATGACCATTAAGGAATATTTTTTTCACAGATGACTATGGATATGCTACAATGGTAATCACTTCCTCTTCTCCTTGAATGCTACCTACATAATAAGATTAATCACCCAGCTTGTACATACATGAGCAACATGATGGTGCCACATATGGTGTACGACATGCTTACCCTCATGGAACGCCTGATATCACGCCTATTATATGGTGGGGTTTTGTGTTCCTCAGTCTTTAGTTTTACATGTTGTGTTTTGTAAACTATTTGCCTTTTGATCCTTTTTCATTTTTTGCCATGGAATTGACAGTTTTTTTTTTCTACTTATGAGTTTGAATATCCTGCTTTTAAGACACGAAAAAAAACTAACAAATATTAACTCTCATAAAAAAATACAACTAATAATTAAGGACTTCAAAAGAGTAAACTGCTTTAATTGGGGAAGTTTTCTGACAAAATAGAAACAACACTCAATTGGAAGGCTAGCATATCAATTTTTCTATTTATTTATGAATATTTCATGAACTTTTTAAATGACAGTAAAATCTTACTTTTTAAGACCCCCGTAAGTATGTTCTACATCTAGACCTGTGACATCTTTTATTATGTTGTTATAGGCCTTCTCTACTTCATCCTCACTTGTTACTGCACTGGCATGCTGTAAAATGAGGTCATATCAAGTAAGTATTGTACATATCAATGTTCAGTGTAAAGTAATGTGTAATTAATAGTATGGTGAATATCAGTCCAGTCAGGACTCAAATACTAGCTTGTACAAAATAATACAATTTGACTTCACAAATAGAAAAGTTTTGCAGTGTAAAAATAAAAAGTGCTGCAACAATGCCAATTTGTGTCTTTGGTTCATTTTTTATTTCATATTCAGTCACAATTTTCGCTATAATAAAAACAATCCAAAAAATTCTGCATTTACAGAACATATAACAAACTACAATCTACTTACTGATAGTAGCTTTTCTTGGAGCTGCTTCCCTGCTGGAGTTGCTATGACAGCCATCTGTTGCCCTGAGTATTTCAGTATAGAGTTGATCCTAGCAGCATAAGGTGCAGCCATGGACAGATAGGTCTCTTCCTCTTCTCCATCTGTGAATTCTGGGAAAGGAATAGTCTCTGGAACGTCATGCCAACCCTAAATCAAAATCAAATAAAATCAGTGATTGCTGGATTTGGAAAAACAAATCATGTGACTAAAATAAACAGAGAAAGGTGAAGGCCCTAATTATTTACATGCATTTATGAGTTAACATTAGTATATGTATTGATATAATCAGAAAAAAAAGGATTTGGTGTGTAAACACATGGCGTAATACACACTTGAAAAAATAAAAGCAAAGGTAAAGCTATTTCTTTGTTACTGTTCTTCATCTTTAAAGTCACAGTGAGACCTTCAACAAGGCATAAATAAGCAACAATCTACAAGTTCAAGACATTCCCTAGCACCAGTTTTGTTGGAATTCTTTTGAGTGGAAAACCAATCTTACTGATCTATAGTAGTATACAGAATTAAAAGACATCAATTTTAAAATGATGATTATACAGTTATATTTATGTAAAAACAATAATAATCTTTGAACAATTCTCTTGTGTTTTTTTGCTTCTTGTCTTTGTAAACATTATAAACTTTATTAAAAAGTTGAACTGTTTTTAAATTTTCTTTGCATTTACAAATGGCATTTAAATGACTTAAATTAAAAGCAATTTGCAGCCTACCTCTTCATTTTCACATATTAGTGAAAAGCAATAGTTGGCCTCTCTGCTTGCTTCTTTAGAATTGTCATCAACATCTTCTTCTTCCTGTTGGTTCTAAAAATAGATTGTATATGACAGTCAGTTTTTTGTATGACAGACCATTTAAAAGTTTGACTTCCAGCTTTTGATTTGAAAATGAAGAAAAGCACAAACTACCAGCAGTCAATTTATTCCATATTTATGTAAGGATATTAAAAATGTAGAAATTAAAATATTTTAACTTTCAGATTTTCTTATGCATAATGGAGCAGGGGACATGTAACTTACTTTAAAATAAGTAGAGGACAACTCTGCACTATGCAGTTATATTCAATAGTAAAATATTGTTTTAACCTTTTCAACATTTCATATTAAAACTTGTATGTATCCAAACATTTTGCCAATAAAACCAATTTATTTTCCAGGATTTCATTTTGGCATTAAGCTTTTTCTAACCTATTTTCTTTGCAATAAAATAATCAAAGTTTGACATGTTGGTCACAATCTATATTCACATTCTTTTTTTACTTGTAAAAGTCGTAAAAAGTGGTTGCTTTACTGTGTAATATCGTGGTTTTTATTGAAAGTTCAAATCCAATTGCAAGATTTATGTTTCCCATTGTGCATATCATGCATCAAATTAATTTCAGTTTCTTGTAATTCTATATTAACAAAATGCTTTTCCATTAAGTATGTACCTTTGAATTTTCTCCATTTTCTTGTTTCTTTTTCTCTTCTTCTCCTTTCTTTCTTTCTTCATCTTCCTTTTTCTTTCTTTCTTCCTCTTCTTTTAGTTTTTTCTCTTTATCTACCAGATTTATGACCACAAGTCGAGGATAATCCGCTGTGAAACTCTTTTCTCTGAATTTAATCAAATGACGGAGGAATTGTCTTTCTGCAGATTCTAAGATTTCCTATAAAACATATGACATTGTAGTAAATAAACATATGACATTGTAGTAAATAAACATATGACATTGTAGTAAATAAACATATGACATTGTAGTAAATAAACATATGACATTGTAGTAAATAAACATGTGACATTGTAGTAAATAAACATATGACATTGTAGTAAATAAACATATGACATTGTAGTAAATAAACATGTGACATTGTAGTAAATAAACATATGACATTGTAGTAAATAAGACGTTGAATGAATTCATTATAATAAATGATGTTGTAAAGAAGTATTAAGGTGGTACCTAACACTACAGGGAGATAACTCTGTAAAAATCAGCTAAACGTTTTAATTACGTTGTATTGTTAAGGAAATATTAAGCTTCTCAATGATCAAAATTAGTGTTTGTCAAACTGCTATATAACCAACGAAATTTTTCTGATAAAGTGGTTGGTTCAAATTTTTTGAAATTTTTATATTTTTGTCAAAGGGTCAAAGTAAACATTTTGTCAAAATTTTATGAAAATTAAACGAGCCAAATTAATATTAGTCAAGGTGTTGGGTACCACCTTAAACTGCATTCATTTTGTTTTGAATAATAAGCAGAACATATCCTTTACGTCACATACTGTAAAACCATTAATTTTCGTTGTAGTTTTAATTTTGTATTTTTGTGGAAAGATATTATCCACGAAAAAAAAAAAGGCCCAATGAACATTTCACTTTCAAAGATTGTAATACTTTAACATCCACGAAAATTAATTCTCATGAAATCTAATTAAAAGACAAAACCACAAAAATTTTAACCCTACGAAAATACAGTTTCTACAGTAGCTTTGAATCATTCCACCGAAAAACTTAGCATTGGAAAGAATATAATATTTTAATTTGATATATTGTCATTTATATATACATTATATTTGCCAAAACCTTTAGTTACCTAAAAAGATCTTTTTTTATATGATGTCTTATACTAGGATATTAATATGAGTAAAACATCTTTTCGGATAAGACTTTAGCACATAGTCAATCTTGTTAAAATGAAGTGTAATATTGCCATTTGGTCAATATAGTATTTCCAACATGCTTGTAATATAACAGTTTAACCACAAATGACATTTCTGTACTTCAGTGTCAATGAAAATTCTGGCCATTAGACAAGTTTGGCTACAATTGGTACCAAGGTTTTATAGGGGGTATCATTGGGGTCTAAGCGTGACCCAGGATTGCAGATTTTTTGTAAGCGTGACACGTGAAAGTCAAATTACTGTGCCGTGAAAATGGGAAATGAAGTCTAGCGGGACACTGAAAACTACAAAAAAAATGAGAATTGTTTACGTACATAGTGTAAGCGGGATACGGGAATCTGACAAAACAGTAAGCGGGATCCGGGATCAGAACCCCCGAATGAGACCCCCTTTATAGTGGAAGATGACCAGGTGAGCAAATAAATTAAGCAAGCATTTCAATTAATTCATTCATTTATGTTTTTTTCCGGACATAAATGTAGTCCAAGAGCAATGATACTGCACAGAATCAAAATGTGAATTTTTCACATATTAGATAACTAATATAACAATACTTACCCCAAAAGCATGCTTCTTTCTTTCCACATCAGATTCTGATGATTTTTCTTCTTCAATGCTGACATATTTTTGTATCTCTTGGAAAAGTTGTAAATATCCTGCTTCATTTGCCATTTGTAAATTTATCTTGAGACATTTAGACCCCACTGCTAACATACCAATCTGGAACAACAACAAGCAGTTGCAAAACACAACAGAAATATATGCCCAATCCTCTGCAGAAAAAAAAGTCTTAAGATAATTTGATAAAAAGTTCTATATATTTGTTATGCACATGTATATCATAATTGATTTGATCTATATACATGTATATTATAATTGATTTGATCTATATACATGTATATCATAATTGGTTTTGTTTATGTTGGTGTCTTCATAATTTGATTGATTAAATGTCCAGTGGTAAATCTGCCTTAGTATGATTAACACAGAGATAAATTAATAGATATAGTTAACATGTGAGAATGTACAAAATCAAATTTTGTTATTATATCTAGAATTTGTGTAACTGGAGATATAAAGTGTACAAATTACACTATATTTAATTATTTCAAGAAGAGATAAATCACTAAAATCACAAAATGTTATAACCATCTACAGGCGGTGCCACAAGAGACAAGTTTCAGATACTTTTCTTTCTTTTTTTCCAAGATAAAACCTTTTTCAGCACTTAAATTACTGCCAAGTAATTTTGTTTTATCATTGCAACTATGGTAACCAAACTCTAATTATGCATAGCTATATCTTGTGTCATAATTGTAGGCCTAGTTACAGATGGTATATCTAGCCTAAATACAGCTGCTTAACTTCTTTCATCTTACCTGACTACAGCTTGTTTTCTGATCAATAGGCATCTTCAGATTAGGTACAGTAATTTTATAACTTACCTCTGACCTTTCCCAGCTATACCCTGTACCAACAACTGCCAATATAGTAGGTATCTTCAGCTTTGCAACAGCAAATCTGAACTCCATCTTACAATTTTTGGAATTAGCATACTGTAAAATGTAAAATAAACACCAATCAGAACTAAGAAAAGATATTCTCACTACTATATTATATAATATGTACTATATGTTGATTTAAACAAAATATATTGATGTCTCAATTACCAAACTGTTATTGCGATATGTCTAATCACTTGATATAACTTCTCAACAAATTTTATATGAGTAACACGACAGGTGTCACATATGGAGCAGGATCTGATTACTGTTATGGTGCACCTGAGATCCGTCCCTGGTTTTTGGGTTCGTGTAACTCAGTCTTTAGTTTTTCTTTGTTGTGTTTTGCATACTGTTTTTCTTTTCATTTTTTACCATAGCATTGTCATTTTGTTTTCCACTTACGAGTTTGAAAATCCTGTTGGTATCATAGTCTCTCTTTTAAATAATAGCCATTAGTAATTGTTAGATATTCGAGGTTTAGTTTGAAGTTAAAAAAGAAATGTATCACATTGAGAATCAACCTTACAGTGAAACCCTTAAGAAACAAAACATTGCACTATATTATTTAACTGGTATTTCAGCTTAAGCTGTGAGGCAAAACCCAGATCACAATATACTTGTAACACTCTATAGATCACATTATTTATAACATCTACATGTATTTCAAATTTCACTAATTTTAAAATTAACTACATTTTTTAAAGTATTTACCTCATCTGATACACATGCAACCATAACCTTTGCCTTTCTCAGTCCATCGGCTATGTCATCAAACAATCCAGCCTAAATAATAAGCAAACAAGTAATGCTAAAGCCAACAAAGTAATACATTTTCATGGGGTATCAATTTTCGTAAATTTTGACATTAAGAATAAGTTCAGAATATTTTCTATGTGTAACTATAAATTTTGTTAAAATTAGGGATGTCAACTCGGTGAACAATTACTAATCAAGTACTCGTTGGTTTTATCGAGCGATACTGGAGTTCTCTCTTGGGAATATATCTACAACAAGGAAACACAAAAAAAAGTATTTTACATCTGTGGTTTGTTGTTCAACGGACAAAAAACCATCTACATAAATATCTGGGACAAGGAATTACACACCATAATTAATAGCTCATTACCTACAACTACTAATTATGTAAAAAAACAATTATCTAATCAGTACAATTTAATGAACACCTATCTAAAAATTATAACAAGAATAACCATATCAAACAATAGTATTTTGTAATCGTTAAGAAAACACATTTAATGTTTACAAAGGCGTAAAGAATTAAATGTTTCACTATTCACTGAGGGTCACCAGAGGATGCAACAAATTTATTTTATTTGGAAACGTTTTCTTTTCAACTATTATTGGGGAAGGACCGCTTTGCAATTTGTAAATTACAGTCTTGCAGACTAAAATATTTGCTCTGACGGTACTGATGTGACAGACTGGCTAAGACATGTATAGTTTAAAGTGTTAGCCTAAATATAGCCCACAACTTTTAGGAGGCATTTAAAATGACAATTTACCGGTAGTACAAGCATTTGAAACTAAATGTATTTTATTTACTAGTATGATTAATCTGTGATGCCTATTTAATTTTCCGAAAGAGGTTCTCAAGAAGAACAATTTTATATAAAGAAGAAAGCAATATTCTAACAGGAAACCGATTAGTCTAGTATTGTTTTGGTATTTGATACTCGGTACTACTGAGCGATACTCGAATACTTCAGTACTGGTTGACATCCCTAGTTAAAATCCTAGCCTAATGAATTATCTTAGGCGTTTGCAGTCATTTTGAAAATGGTGGTCGATCGATAATTTTTTTACATACTGTAGTCATTACATGTTTTAAAAATCTTTCTTTCACATGTTTTTTAACCTGTTTTATAACTATATTTTTTTTGTCGACTTACATTACCAACTCTCTGTATATCTAACCAACAAGGTATTTTCTGTGCTTGTAATTTTGTCGCTAGTTCTCTTGGGTCACCAAATCCTAGAGCGCCTTCTAGCTTTGCAGTGCCCTTGGCAATTGCATCTTTTGAGTTAGCCCAACAGTAACTAATAAAGCACTGAGGATTATCATCCTGTAAGGGAAAAATGTTAAAAAATGAAAATAAATAATATTTATAAATAAATGCTATTCATAGTGATAAATATACTAAGCCAGTTTGGAAAGAGTTAAAACAGCAGATACCATAAACATGTATACTATCCCAATTTCTATGCAAAATCTTTTTATGAGCATACTGAACTTGCACATCAAACAATAAGTTGGCCCTTCACATCAATAATGGTAGTTTTTACAAACTATTTCTGCAGGGGATGTGTTTACTGATTTTGTGTGATTAGGAAATAAGCAATAATATCCACCGCCTTAATTTTATTGTCTTTTCAATGTTTACAGTAAATTAATGTGCAACTGAAGTACAATCAGAGATGCTGTAATGATTCTAAAAAATCTTACCGCTCCACCTTTGCCCTTCTTTTTCTTTAATGCTGCTTTAAGTTCCTTAATCTTTGGTTCGTACCTACCCACATCCGTCATTTTGACAAACACCTGCAAAACACAAATTTAAATGTAAGTACTCTTACAAGTAATGAAAACATTCACATAAATAAAGTTGTACAAGATCTCTGCAACACTGAGCAAATTAAGTATGCAGTGACTTATAAATCAAAGTTTCCCTGTTTATACCTTTAACTTAATGTGCCTTATGAAAATTTAAGAAAAATCTATTATTCTAAAAGTTTTTTTGTATTTTAATCTACCTTAATTAATAAACATGAATATATGTTTGCACCAGAACAATAACAGTCCATAATTCACTTTTCAGTAAACAACCTGTATTATGTAAGTTATTATCTTGTCACAAAAGCTAGTTTTGTCTTTCTATACATTTTGGAAACATAGTGATTTATCTTTAAATACATAACCATACACAAAAAGATTCCCAAAAATATGCAAATTTGCTAAAGTTTATTGTGGCTGTAGTATGCATCTGATGTTATCTTAAAGAGATATTTGTTTCAACATTTGCAAAGTGTTGAGCGAGTCTAACTTGAAAACGAAATTTTCTCCAATACTCAAACTGTTGATCAACACTATAAGATGCACTCAATTTATAACTTTTTAAGTGTTGTCTACTAACAATAGAAGATGATATCAATTCAATATATTATTACCTCATCAGCAATATTGAGCCCTATACTGGTTTCCAAAAACTTTAAACTGCTCCCCAAAACTACTAGAAGTATGGGTTTATTCAGCGTCTCTTTTGCAAAGATCAACAATTTTTTACACGTTTCATCTGCACAGAACTCATCTGATACTCCAAACAGGATCACCTACAAACAGTAATATAAGGTGAAAGAATTAAATCAAATAAATTAAATATAGAATAAGAAGAAAACATTACAATTCAATCTGATGAAACAAACCCTTACAGAATGAACAGCTGCGCCATGAGCGCATGATACGCCCGTCGCTTCTTTAAAGAATAAAGTTCAATAACTTCTCAATGTCATATCAGAAATTTATAAAAAACTAAAGGGAGGTTATTTTAATACATATAAACCAGTCACCAAAGTTTCTTGAAAACTGCTCAAAGCATTTTTGAGTTATTGTCCGAAAACTGGAAAATCACCCCTTTTTTATGAATAAAATCCCACAACTCTGAAACGTAAAATCTAAAATTTATAAAAATCAAAAGAGAGCTTATGTCAATAGATATAAACAATTCATCAAAGTTTCATGAAAACTGCTCAAAGCATTTTTGAGTTATTGTTAGAAAACTGGAAAATCCCCTTTTTTTAATGAATAAAACCCTATAACTCGAAAGCATGAAATCTAAAATCCATAAAAATCAAATGGGAACTCACATCAATAGATATAAACAATTCACCAAAGTTTCTTGCAAATTGGTGAAAGCGTTTTTTGAGTTATTGTCCGAAACCTGGAAAATCCCCCTTTTTTTAATGAAAAAAAAACCCTTAACTTGGAAACGTAACATCTAGAATTTATGAAAATCAAAAGGGAGCTCACGTCAATAGATATAAGCAATTCACCAAAGTTTCATGCAAATTGGTTGAAGCGTTTTTGAGTTATTGTCCGGCATGTTGACGACGGACAGACAGACAGATGGGCGGACGGACAATGGTATTCCATTATACGTCCCGTAAATGGGCGTATAAAAAGGGAAGTGGACAAAGGATTATTTTGTTCTTTTTGTTTCTTTTATGTATGTAATTTTTTAACTCCATTAGCAATCAAAATTACCTGTTTCAAAAAAGAAAACTGAGCAAATCGCATAAATTCATAATCCAGATACCTATTTGAATAAATTTGTCAATGTTTTTTGCTTTTGGAAATAGTTAATCATTAAAAAAAAAAAATTAAATGACATGTGTATATTAGGTACTAAACCAACAAAATACAATATAGATTATCGGAGGTATGAATACACGAAAGCATACTTAGGCTAATTTTATAACTTTATTTGTGTTAAATGTTGATTACAATTTAGGTACATAATACATATTGTTTTCAAAGGATTACTTTTTCATGTTATTAAAAACAATATTTACCTGAGAACTTTTAAATGCTATGGTCAGAGATTCAACATCAGCAGTTTCTGGATTGTCACATATAGTCCTATGAAATACAAAAGCATAATACAATTTACACTGATAAATATGGAAGAATCAGTAGGAAAAGCAAAATTTCAAAAAAAGATAAAGGTTTATCTCTAACATAACTAACCATGCCATAACTGTGAAAAACCATGATTTAACTACAAAACTTTGGTAAACTTCAGAAATATTCAAATAGCATAATTAATTTATTATCATTTTGTTATACTGAATTTGTTTTACATAACTTTTGTGCCTTTTCATATCATAATGTCCTATACACTGAATACAAACTATTTATTAATTAAAAGTTAAGATCCATTTTGTTACATCTGGTGATCCGTTTATTTGGCAATCGCCAATGGCAGTCAGCAGGGTTTAAGAACATCTGTTGTTCGACCTGCTAGTCAAATGCGTTTTGTTAAAATATACTTTTTCACTTTTTTGGTCTTTTGGAAAATGTTGTTTGTGCTGTATTTAGACCCCTCTACCAAGAAATTTGTTTTGCATGCACACATATAATAAAATGCTCCGCTGGGGCGCAGCTTGATACGACCGCAGAGGTCGAACCCTGAACAGTTGGGGCAAGTATGGACACAACATTCAAGCTTGATACAGCACTGAATTTGGATTGTAATTAAATATTTGACACAGCATAGGTTTCTGACACAGAATGAATGTGGTCTAAGAACTTAAATTTTTTTAATTTATCTATTCAAACCATATCATTATTATTTGCTTTTATATATAAATCAGAAATAACCAATTTAAAATGGAAAATTTTAAAGAAAAAAAAGGAGACCCCCCCCCCCCCCCCCAATTTTTTGAACCCCCTTATGATTCATCACCCCCAAACTCAATCCCAGCCTTCCCTTTGTGGTATGGTACCTTGCAGTACACATACATGTGATGGACTGTGAAACTCAGATAAGGAGTTTGGGAAATTTTGGTCAGGAGATTAGGACTCAGATCAGGTGGTTTTTAATCGACATAAATTCTGTCGTAAATGTAACCGTGTGCTGTAGAAATTGTCTGTTAAAGTGTGTTTTCTTCAACTTTCCATCCGAATGTATTATGTTTATAGTACCCTTGTACTTATAAATTTTCTCTATCTTTTTAAACTTTCAACTTGTTCAATCTAACATTCTTCCTTTTTAGTATGTTCTTTAAATATTTTAGGTCATATCTTTTTTACCATTATTCATTGCAATCAGAACATTTGCTTATCTATCTGCAAGTAGATCTTTTTTTTATATCTATATGCAAGTAAATTTTTTTTTTTTTTTATCTTTATTATGCAAGTAGATTTTTAATGCATGATAAGTAACACATTCAAACTATGAACATGGGTCATAGTTATTATATAAATTTCAATTTAAGCCTTGAAAAGAAGTATAGACCCCTCAAATAATTTTCAAATTATTATTTTTTTATTTGTCCTAAGACATTTAAAATCATTTAATTACCATCCTTTTATGATTATTTGTTCAATTTATATGTTATTTATATTCTTTTAAAAATTTACATTATTTAAAGGAAAATAACTTAAAACTGGATAAATCAAGGGAAGTAACCCAACATTCATTTTAAATACAAAGTTTTATTACACAATCAGCCTGAGGTAAAAATCGTTGATTACCAGTATGTTTGACACCCAAGGTGACAAGTGAAGCCATATAATTATGCATGTTAATTGATTTACAGGTAAAATATAACTTCAGGTAATGTCAGTTACACCAGATATGTTGGGCTGAAATTTTTCATTCATGAAATATTTCATACACGGGATTCAACGGGAGGTCGGGAGGAGACCCCTGAAAACGGGATTATTGTACACCTGTTGGGAGGTTCATATGTACGAGTACAATTTCAGAGAGATCCATACACTTACACACAAGTTATTGTCCTGAAACTAGAAAAATGCTTGTTTTTTTTGCCCCTTTATGGCCCCTAATTCCTCAAATTTTTAGGGAATTACCCCCAAAATCAATCCCAGCCTACCCTTTGTAGTATGGTACCTTGCAGTACAATTTCAGAAAGATCCATACACTTGAACACAAGTAATTGTCTGGAAACTAGAAAAATGCTTATTTTTGGCCCCTTTTTGGCCCCTTTTTCCTAAACGTTGTGGGCAATTACCCCCAAAATCAATTCCAGCTTTCCCTTTCTGATATGGAACCTTGTAGTACAATTTCATAAAGATCCATACACTTGAACACAAGTTATTGTCATGAAACTAGAAAAATGCTTGTTTTTTTCCCCTTTATGGCCCCTAATTCCTAAAATTTGGAGGCAATTACCCCCAAAATCAATCCCAGCATTCCCTTTGTGATATGGAACCTTGTGGTACAATGTCAGAGAGATCCATACACTTACACACAAGTTATTGTCATGAAACTAGAAAAATGCTTGTTTTTTGCCCCTTTTTTGCCCCTAATTCCTAAAATTTGGAGGCAATTACCCCCAAAATCAATCCCAGCATTCCCTTTGTGATATGGAACCTTGTGGTACAATGTCAGAGAGATCCATACACTAACACACAAGTTATGTCTGGAAGTTACAAAAATGCTTATTTTTGACCCCTAATTCCTTTACTGTTGGTACCATAACCCCCAAAATCAATCCCCACCTTCCTTTTTTGGTATTGAACCTTATGGTAAAATTTCATAGAGATCCATTCACTTAAACTAAAGTTAGAGTGCGAAAACCAATGTGTCTTCGGACGACGACACCGGACGACAACGACGACGACGATGACGACGACGCCAACGTCATACCAATATACGACCACAAAATTTTTTTTGCGGTCGTATAAAAATTGCAGTTTTTATCCAACGCAATCATAGGTTTGAACTTTGTTTTCAATTTAGACTTGTTTTTATATATATATTTACAAGAGGGGGAAAAGCATATTGCATCAATTCTTCAGGACTTCGACATGGAATAAAATTGAGAATGGAAATGGGGAATGTGTCAAAGAGACAACAACCCGACCATAGAGCAGACAACAGCCGAAGGCCACCAATGGGTCTTCAATGCAGCGAGAAACTCCCGCACCCGGAGGCGTCTTTCAGCTGGCCCCTAAACAAATATGTATACTAGTTCAGTGATAATGGATGTCATACTAAACTCCAAATTATACACAAGAAACTAAAATTAAAAATGATACAAGACTAACAAAGGCCAGAGGCTCCTGACTTGGGACAGGCGCAAAAATGCGGTGGGGTTAAACATGTTTTTTGAGATCTCAACCCTCCCCCTATACCTCTAGTCAATGTAGAAAAAACAAACGTACAACAGTACGCACAGTAAAACTCAGTTTAAGAGAAGTCAGAGTCCGATGTCAGAATAGGAAACAAAAGAAAATAAACAAAATGACAACAATACATAAATAACAACAAGTTGGCTGTCCTCGGTAATCAAATTTTTAACAGGACAAGTAGTGGTCTATGTACATGTATGTCTAAAATAGAGGAAGACCATAAGCACAACAAATTCACAGCTCAAAGCAGGAACTGTCCTATTATAGGAAGATGACCTGAATGTTTCAACTTGCTCTACAATTCTTCACTCTGGCAATTTTTTCGGGGAAATCTTATTCTATTTAGGGCCCAAACATTTAAGTCACCCAACTTAAAGGGGGGTTAACCTATACAATTTTACTGAACTGACTTACACATTGAAACCATCTTTCCTAAGGTCCTCCATTATGTTACCAGGATGTACTAGTTTGTTTTCCTGGGCAAGATCAGGAATGTTTCGTTTAGAATAACAAAATATAACACTGATGTTAACATCTTCTCCTAAATCTTTGAGTTCAAACACACTGCGACGTAAATGTTCATCAAACTCTGTTGTCTTGTTTGGTGGCATTAGAGCTGTAAGAAACATTGGTTTAAATTATTACAAATAATTCTTTAGTCTTACAATAAGACAAATTTACTACATTGTACTATTCATCTGTTGTCAAAAACTGTTCAATATATTAAAATTCACAGAAAGACTTTATTACATCTTTATCTGTTAGTTGCTGATTCCAAAGCTATGATGAATTTCAATTAACATATATATGAATCAGTCTCTTGCAGACAACTGTAAAAAAGATTTATTTAGAAAAGGATCCTTTACACTATTCCACTGATTTGAAGTCTGGTAGCGCCAACATATACAAAAAAGATGTGGGTATATTGTTACTAAGTCATCAACCCAACAACAAAAATACCTGGAGGTCAACCCATAATCTTCCCAATAGGTAATGATATGGCATATTTCATATAACATTACATCTTCACTAGCCAATGGTTATGATCTTACCCTCTCCTCTTCACCTCTCGCAGATTAAGTCAGAATTTGTGTATACAGTGTAATGCCATCTAGTGACAGATAGAAGTCATGCCAACTCCTACTACATAAAAATTGACCTATAGCAGCACATGTACTTATTTTTTCTGAGGTGTAAAAATGAGTTTGTAAAGTGTTTACAAATTTCATGTAGCAGAAACCACATATGGAGCAAAAGCGTGTTCCACAATCTGCACATGGCAACGGTTTGTTTACATTTTTTCTATATTTACATGTGATCATCTCAGAGGCATTTTTGATTGGATGCAGCTACTTACAACTACGACCAATGGAAATCATTACCTCGTGTAACCCAAATTCTGACTTAATCTGCTAAGGGTGAAGAGAGCTGGTCGGATCATAACCACTTGCTTTTGCTAGTGAAGATGATAAAATCATGGTTTATTTCATATAACATCTCAAATCAACCCACAACCCCTTTAGCCCCATGCTTGTATGGACATCTCTGCTGGCTGATATGAAGTGTACTATGAATTCTGCCTAATAATATCCTATAAATATAACTTACATTTGAGTTCTGGCATGGAGAAAACATTGAACATTTCATCATATGTAAGAATGAAGCATTCAGTTCCACCGCTCTGTGTACTTACATTTGAGTTCTGGTATGGAGAGAACATGGAACAATTTATCACACTGTAAGAATGAAGCATTCAGTTTCACTGCTCTGTGTACTTACATTTGAGTTCTGGTATGGAGAGAACATGGAACATTTTATCACACTGTAAGAATGGAGCATTCAGTTCCACTGCTCTGTGTACTTTTGACGATGGAAACATACTGGGATCAACCATACCCTGGAATGTGTATTATTGAAATAATAATAAAATGTCATGCAAAAAAACATATATCTGTATATCATGGATAAAAATGAAAATACTGTAAATTCAGAAATTATTGCGATGTATTTATTATTGCGAAAAATTTTGAAATATTTTATATGAATTAGACAGGATTTTTCTCAATATCGCAAAAATTAAAATCACATTTTAGTCTAAAATGACAAAATTGGAATAATAAATGGACCCAATAATTTATGAATTTACAGTAACACTTTATAAATTTTGTGAATCTGAAGCACTTTTCTGGATTTACCTACTTTAGAATGCACAAAGCTGAATATTAGAAAGCCAAGGATGTATAAGAACTGTTGAACAGCTCTATGACCAAAAAAGGACCTAAAACTATTAGTCAATTCCATTTGAGGTCAACTTTGCCAGCAACCAGCAACTAAAAGAGTCATAGCATGTACAATGATAGACCATATCAAGGAATATATTTAAACTTAAAAACAGATCTCAAAAATCCATACCCCTGCTATCCTCGTTTTTATAGATACATGTATACCAAAGAATATAACAATGAACAAAATTAAGGATAAAAATTTGCCATCAGCTTTGATTTTGAAATCACAAAATATAAACTCTGCAAAAAAGACATTGTCACACTATTTTGCACAATACAGTCCGTGTAACGTAAAAGTTAACAATACGAACGATGCCCGAATCATGTACGGACGATGCCCGAACGATGTACGTACGCTTCCCGAACGGTGTACGAATGCAAACGAAACGCTGACCGAACGTTGTACGGACGCTGAACGAATGATGTACGAACGAAACCATGTACCATAAACCATACCATAAACGATAAAATAAGCACCCTTTTATCGTACATCGTATGTTTTTTGCGTACATCGTATGTTTTTGCGTACATCGTTTCATTAAGCGTATACCGTATCGTTTAGCGTACATCGTTTCGTTAAGCGTATATCGTATCGTATAGCGTACATCGTTTCTTGGCGTGCATAGTTTCGTTTAGCGTATATGTTTGTTTGTTTTTTTAAATATAAATATTAATGGCGTTCTGTTAAATCTTTTTATATAGGTGATAATAGGCGTAAAATTTAGATTGGATGCGTGTTTCAGTTTTTAATTAATAATTTAATAAATTATAATTTGATCTGACTCGATGTTGATCCAAACCTATTTACATAAAAAGTTTGAAAAATAAACACTGAATTAAATTTAAACGAATTAAAAGATACGATTATGAATTTTGTTAGCCGTAGAAATACGTACTTGGTGAATGTGTGAGTAAACTGCAGTCTGCAGGGTATTCAGTCAACATTTTTTGAAAATAGCCTAAGGTATTAACATTTTTATTAACCTAAATGAACAATTTTTTTTAGATGGAATTCGGAATTAATCTTATGTTCTTACAAAAGTATACTCGGGGTCTTAAAGGTTGACCTTTTGTCCAAAGGTTTGTTAAATATTTTTATATATTCTCTTTTATCGCATGTATTTTAAAATCGACTGAATAGCAGGGTCGAGTTCAATATCGTAGCGGCTACGTAGCGGCTATGTAGCTGCTATCAATATCTATGTAGCAGCTAGGCTAAAAGCCTCTAAATACACGTTCAATAGTCACAAATCTACGTAGCACTACGTAGCCGCTCCGATATTGAACGCTACCCAGTTTTATCTATATATCGTAACTAAACCATTTTTTTTAGATTATAGATTGTTTTTATTCATTGATCAAATCAGTCGAAAGAAACAAATATTCGAGAAATTTCAAATAAGAACAATTACTCGCTATGTGCCTCATCAACCCTAAACAAAAAATCCCTACCAATGTACATACGATTATGTATTATTTTGACTATAAATGCACTTGACTTTAAACAATCATCAACAATTGTCCGGCAAAAAACTAGACCCTCTATTCTTTAATTTTCTTATACCATTTTCCTCTCTCCTTTATTTTTCCCGTTATACTCTAATTTTATTTATTTTTTCTTTATTCTCCTACAACTATCTATTATACCTACTTTATTCGGAGCAACCCCACCCTAAATATACATATGATACATGTACACACATTCTATAGTTCATCGCTTGTGCCGTGATACACATGTTTGCATAACAAAGGATGTCCTTGTTCATATTTATAACATTTTCAATGTCCTTCTAATAATACATCTAACAGTTGCCACGGACATTAAACAGATAACTATAAATTCATCCGTCATATTCTCGGTTTTGTTATAATGTGTATATCAAACAACATGATAAAACAATAATTATTGCAGATTTTCACTGCAGAAATAATGGGGAAAATTGTAAACAAAACCACCCAATCACATCCCTACGCCACAAAGTCTAGCCTTTTCACATGTAAATAAATTATTTTCATAAATCTATTTCAAAATAATTTTAAACAATATTAAATCAAACGGTCATTATTCTTATTTGCCAAAAAAAAAAAAAAAAATAACACAAAACAGTTATTTTCATTTCTTATTTTAAACAGATCGATTGTTTTCAATGGTCGGTGCCTGACAACATCTATAAAATCGATCACCATGTAGGCCAGTAAGAAAGCTACATAGAACAGGAAAACAACAATGTCCTAGAAATATTTCCAGGCCATATTTTCCAATTTCTGTTGTAATGTGGTTTAATGCAAAAAGGTTAACTCCTGAATACTGATTTGTATCCATCAAGCATTTGGGGTTAATAACAAATCTATGGTAGTCACTTTTTCTTTACTCGCAAAGTATTCGACTAAATCATGTTTTATTTATGAAAATTGATCAATGTTGACGAATGTTAAATATTGATCCCTAGATTTTCAATTGTTTAGTTGTTAGGTTACTGTCTGATCTCGCAAACCTGACATTTTATGGTCATTATTTTTTGCATCCAATTGCACCAATTTATTAAAAGGATATTATCGCGACACCGTACGAGAGTCGTGACTTTACATAAACTACTAGTATTTTTTTTTCTATAACGAAATACGAAACCACTTTTCGCAATTCGCTTTGGGGTAATTGTGCTTCTCTTTTGACAAAATATGGCCTTGTCTCAAAAACAAAAAGTATAATATAATATAGAGTAATATATAAAACTGTACCTGAGTGAAGAGTTGGGAAGTAGGAATTCCGAATTTTAATTGAATGTTCTAAATCGTTGTGTATTTCTGATATATGATTGTACAGACTCAAAAATTTCTTTGTTTTGATGAACTGAAAGGTCAACGTCACCAGCCAATAGAAGCAACATGGATATAGTAGATCTTTCTGATTTTGAAAACAATATTTCTCTTGCTTTGTTGATAAAAGGGCACTTTAAAAAATAGTGAATACTATCCTCAATAGGATGGCCACAGCTGCATGCGGAATTGGGTTTAACATTAATAAGGTTTAAATCTGCTTTTGAAGAACTGCACAATATTTCTAAACAGTGTATCAATGATATTAAGATTTCTATCACCACAACTAAATTAGGAAGTGCGTACTGCGAATAAATTATTATACTCAGTTTACTATTGTCTACAGCAATTTATCACATATAATACCACGTTAACAATTAGGGTGACGGTGTTTGACAGTCTGAAGGAGACAGCATCAAGGATTTAATAAGGCAAAACTTTTGTTGTACTCAATCTTACTAAAGTTTTCTGTATTATATTTAATAGATATATATCAGAGATACGATAATGTGGTTTTCTTTTTTATATCACACCTGATCATCTATGATGGGATAATGTCTAATGATATCATTTAACCAGAGACTGAATAACGTAGAAATGACAAATTAAAGGTCACTGTACGGCCTTCAACAGTGAGCAAAATCCATACAGCATACTAAGATATATAAGGCTCCGAAATGACAAATTTAAAATAAACTCAACACTGTTCAAACATCACCGCACGTCAAATTTTGAACAACAGAAAAACCTGATTGGACATTCGTGACAATTTGTCACGCCTTCATGAATTGGCGTACGTCCTATCAAATACCTTCAGAAAGCTTCCATTGAAATTATTTTACACACAAGTAACTGTGACAGTGTATTTTATTTTTCTTAATAAATAAAAAAAAATGTATTTTGCGTTTAAAGTGCAATGAAGCCACGGATTCGTAATCTTCAAAAATAGTTCAGAAACGGTTGAAATAAAACAATTATGGCCAGTGCACGTTTATAAAACGGGCTATATTAGGAAATTTTGATAAACTATTAGTACTTGTGTTCTGTGTATAGAATGTTAGAGGTCAATACGACTTTTAATCAGTTGGATTTTCAATTTTGATAAAAGATGTGTTTTCTTCTTTTCTTTAAATTTATATCATGATTCTTTCCATTATTTTCTGAATATTTTTTAAGATGAATAATCTAAAATTTGTATACCAAACATTTAAAATATTACTTTGCGTTTATAAATAGCATTGAAAGTACAACATCTTATAAACGATAAACATTGACAGAGGTAAATGAGCCACTCTTTCTCATGTTGAGATGGAATATGTTCGTTATTTGATTTAATGAGTTTAACAATCGAAACCCCTGAATTATCGTCTCATGACAAGCACGAAAAATGGCGAAACTGGACTTCCAACAGCGGACAATGATTTCTAATTATACAATATTCTTTCAATGGTTTTTTTAAATGCAATGTAGAACTTATCAATTAAGACATTTCTTATCCCTTTTGAAATTACTTAATCGAATATAAAATCATATGCACGAAGAAGTTTGAAATTTGAAAAAAAAAGGCATGACAGGAGTTTAGAGGGGAAAAAGGGCAGGATGGGCATCTTGCCAAAAAGAAAAAGGCATGATGACTTATGTAAAACAAGTCAGGATAAATTAATAACTAAGAAAGGCAGGAAAGAATAGAACGAATAGAGTGTAAAATAAAAAAGCAGGACTACATTTACATTGAGTTTACATTTAAAGAAAAATGCAGGACATCATGTTTCCATCCTATTACGCGTCATTGATG